GTCATATCCACTCATATTATGAAACACCACAGGTATAACACAAATATCTTTATAATTTAAATTACAATTCTGATGTGCAGCACCCCTATACATTCCAGTTAAGTGATTATGATCGCGCACTTTAACGTTATTTTCTGAAAATGTTTTTTTACATATATGACATATTTGTGAGGATTCAAACTGCTCACGTTCTTGTGTAGTTAATTTTTCCATAGAAATAATGTTTTGAAATTTGTTGTTACAAAAATGAGCCAATTGATTTAACTCTTGAACAAACCATTGGATGCAATCTTTACCTCGATACAAACGAAATCTGGAGAGAATTATCATATGAACAGTGAAAATAGTATGCAACACTGTATGCAACATGTTTTTGATAAGGATTGGTTTTACAAGTAGTGGACATGTGGTCTTTTGAATAATCAAGAAGAATACTCTCGAGATCTGCATATATAGTAAAAGGTACTTTTTCTTGATATCTATAATTTTGAAAATACAAATAATTTTCGTTTTCTGATGGCAGTCTTATGGAATATTTATTAATACTCTGACATGTAGTTTTATGTTTTTGGAGTAATTCCTCTGTAGTGAAATGATTTAAACACCTTTCGCATATATAAAATTTACATTTATGGAGGGAAAGTTGCTTAGCTAAAAGAGCTGACAAATTTTTGATCCATACGAAATGATAGAGCAATTGACGATCTTCAAAGTGATCATTGTCGTTTTTTGTATTTTGTATTTGTGTTTCAGCAGGTAGCATAAGCAAATTAATTACTTTATTAGAATTTAAAAACCTTGTGCTTAAACGACAAGGTAAAACTTTTTTCTCCTCGATGCAGTACAAATTAATTGCAAGATTGTTGAGTTCTTCAAATTTTTGAATGTCTTTAATTGTGATTGGAAAGTCTAAATTATCATATTTCAACACATTTTTGAAGTGTGGATACGACGATTTTCGATGTGAATTTTTATCGGTAGGGAATAAAGCTGAAACTATTGCCCATAGAAAACAATATTCATCATCATTTTGGACATTAATTATTGCATGTTTTTTTTTAATGCAAGCTGGTGTGGACACGAAAGTTGAGTAACCAAATTTGATTGGATCATATTTATTTATGTTAATTTTCAATCCTAAAATCTCATACAACGCCCAACCGGAGTCCTTTTCCGCAAATTCTTCTAATTTCTTCATTATCTTATCAACAACGTTCTCTTCGTACCATTGCTTTAAATCTGTATATGCATCAATGTGCTGATTTTTTGTGGAGAATGTTTTAACGTCTGTTTCACCAGAGTGCGGTTTAATGAAATTTGCCGAAAAAATTACATTTACTTTTAGCATCGTGTTTTTTAGCTCTTTTCTAATTCTAAACATAAAGCATTTAAAAGATTGTCGAAAAAACTGAAGAGGATCTTTAATGTGATGATTAATTATAAATCCTGTACGAATCCTTTGTTCAAAACAAGATTCTATGTCTTGCCAGGTTACGTTTGCCGTAGGTTTAAATTTGTCTCTTTTAAAATAACCTTCTCCAATTTTTAGAGACAAATGTTTTTTCTTATTCAAAAGCTTGAAACGGTAAAATTTTAAATAAGCTAGACTTGTTTCTAAGGAATTAGCATTTTCTAAAATATTTTCTCGATGTATTTTACATCTAAGTGCTTTTCTAATTATTCTAATGCTGGTATTTATATATACTAAAAAATTTTTAATTTCTTCGATTGTTTTGATTTTACTAATATATTCATGAATTAGCTTAAGCGAGCCTTTACATATAGCCGTCACTGTTTCCTGCGGATGCATTTCTTTTTTTTTTTTTGCTGTCGAACTTGTTTATCACAGTAGAAAGAAGAGCACTATTATTTTTTTTTTATTTTTCTGTGAAATACCTTCTTATTCATATGTGAACGAAATTTCCGATTGTAACACACAACTCAACAAATTTAATAAAAATCAGCGAAAAATGAGACGCGTATTTTTGCAAGCTCAGAAAAACAACTAAATTATCAACTTCAGCATAATTAAGAAAATGTATTCTGTAGTAAAAGTGGAGGAAAATAGCAAGAGTGGGGATTGATAATGTGTATAAATTGAAGATCACCCGCAAGAGTTATAACAGTCCTCAACAAATTGAAGATCACACTCAGTCCTCAACACTTAAGAAAAATATATATAAACAACAAAATGGGTAAGCTTGTCTTTATTACTATTAAATAAAAATCCTAATTGTTTTTTTCTTTTTTTTAGAGCAATTTGTCATATGCCCGTTTGACAGAAGCCATAGGCTTCTTGAGGGCCGATTGAAGCGCCATATTTTTAATTGTCATCGTGAGGCCTGGGAGCGGGAGAGATGTCTCCGTGAGGCTGCTTCCAGAGCATCCCATCCGCCGCCATCACCACCACCACCACGACCACCACCACCACCGCCAATAATAGAATGCCCAGACAACTGGGATAATGAAATTAGTCAAACCTACGTCCCCTCCATGAGTAGGGAGCTGCTGCTGGACAGAACGGCAATCAATAATTATAAGTCAGTTTTTAGAAGAAAATAATAAAATAATTATAGTAATTTCTTTCGGTCCGTTTATCGCTACCACCCTACCATGACTTACCACCTCTACAAGCTTGCTATTCGAGTGTGTGTATACAAGAACATAACTAGTCTAAAATGTTTCTGCCTATCAACGTGATGGTACTATTAAGTGCGCTTGTTGAAAACAACTTATATATCTATACCACGCCAAACATAACTCTCCTGTATATTCAGACGTATGAAAAGGAATGTTGGGAAAAAATGACTCCGATCAATATAATCGAAACCAGTTATCATCTCTTCTATGCGAAAAATATCACAACGCAAAATTATTTGGCTTACAAGATAAAAACAGAACAAGGAAATCGACAATTTTCTCAATGGTTAATAATCGAAAATATTAACAGTAGTAACAATTCAAAGGAAATCTTTGATTTTTGTTTAAGAAACGATCATGTGTGGTCTGCTTCAGTTTTTCTCATATTCTCGATAATGACCGTAATAGTAGCATGCTGGGATTTGGCGAGCCGTTAGTGCTAATTGTGGTGGTGGTGGTGGTGGTGGTGGTGCTGTTGAATACATATATAGGTTACCTCGCAACAACAAAGTACTCATTCTATCCAAACAATGTTAGGCTTAAACTGCACACTTATTTTATCGACCATTTTAATACAGAAAGATTTTTATTTATTCACTGATAGCAATGTTACAGATGTATATTTACAAACTCTGGTTAGAAATAAAGAATGTACTTGTAGAAAAATGATAGAAATTAAAGATGGACATGATCAGTTAGTTATGTTTTATTCAAAAAATGTATCCGTTTCCAACCAACTGCAGTATCGACTAGAATTTGTCTTCAAAAACAGAAGCCGATGCAAGTCACCAAATATCACCACTATTAACGATTACAGTGGATACAAAAGTTCTAGCGGTGAAAATGCTACACAATATTGTTTGGCAAAACCCTGGATCTGGATATTTACTTCTGCAGGAGCAATTATTTTTGTAATTATATTTTGTGTGTTACTTTATTTAGTGTTAATATGTTTCACTCATTGTAGCAAACCCAATAATCCAACAAATGTTTGAAAATCTATGAATGTGCGGATTCAATAAAACAATTATTTACATTTATTAGTTTTATTTCACATATATCCTATCATTTTTTTCTAACAGCATCAGCACTACGATTTAACCCAACAATAAATTATTTAATATTTTTCAAATTATTAGCAGCACGACAGGAATCATCGTGATCTACCACTACAGTATATGCTGACATAGCTAAATTGTTTGGTTCAAATCGTACTTCCTTTTTCGCAATTCTTTTCTTATATTTGGTGATGCGATCTTTTTTTTCAACATTGTCGAAATTCACATCTGTTAATTTCCATTCAACAAGTACTGGATTTACTCCACTTGAAAAATACATTGCCACTTTGCATATCGTTAAATCGAAAGATTTGAGAATTCTTAGTATTCTGGCTTCCAAGGAAATTTGAGGACGAGGTTCAATAAAAATAAGGTTAAATAGAAAACCTTCAAAATTCAAATAACAGCAAGGCCATTTGGATTGATAAACGTAAGTAGAGATTCGGTTAGCTTGGCAGTTATCCTTAGACCATTCTTCTATATTTTCATTTTTTTCTATATAAATATCAATGTCCGTATATGAAGAGGTTCGGTTCAATAGAAATGCGGCACATCCACCAGCCATGAATTTTCTGCACAATGGAAATTTTTGTCGTAACAAACTTTCGATTGCTTGAATGATACGACGTTTCTCTCGATTCAATGAATCTATATCAAAATCGCGAGAAACCAAAATACTCTCTTTCAGTGGAAACATATCTGATGTGTGAACTGAACTGATAAATTTATAGAACACCAATACGTCTTATATACATGTGCTTCATCACAGTGAGGGTTGGATTGCTGAATTGCAATTCACACGGAAATAGTTTTTTCATGACCTTGAACTCTTAAGTTCCTTGAAGAGCACGTGTTTATAGAATTGCCGAATAGCATTTCTCACAGAAATAGGTTTTTTCATAACCTTGAACTCTTAATTTCCGAGAAGAGCACGTGTTCAAAAATTGCTGAATTGCATTTCTCACGGAAATAGTCGTTTTCATCACCTTGAACCCCTAAATTCTGAGAAAAGCACGTGTTATTGAAATTGCTGATTTGTTTGTCTCATGAGAACTGCTAAATTGCATTTCTCACGGGAAGAGTTTTTCATGACCTTGAAGTCTAGCAGTCTTTTAGATGTCCATATATGGACATAATAAATTGCTGATTTGGCATTTCACCCCTCTTTCTAAAATTATTTTTTCATTACTCTGCATTTTTTTTCCTATATATTTTGTATGGAGACACATAATTGTCATTATTAGTTCTTCAGTGTTTGTAAGTGATCGTGAAAGTAAAGTGAAAGTTTGTAAGTGAAAGAAGATGAAGCATTCAGTAAACTCGAAAAAAATAAATATCATTCAGGATATTGTAATTCAGGTAGGTTTTTTTTTATTATTTATTTGTTTAATATTTTTTACAATATTAGAAGACAACACAATTCAGACAGGTCTTTTGGTTTTTTGCTAAATGTTTTTTATTTTTAATATTTTACATATACATTTTTTTTTTTAATTTTGTATATTCATAAATGTTGAAATGTTTATAAGTCTGTATTTTGTTTGACAGCCCGCCATGCCGAAAATGAGGAAACTGGCCGATTTAACGGCCGAGGAATTGGATGAAATAAAATCCATTCGGCAAGAAGCGTCCACTTCCAAGGCCATAGAATTAAGGGAAGAGCCTTCAGAGACGCCCTCCCAGCTGTCCATTGCACTGGACGAGTCATGCGTTTCTTTAACGCCCTCATTATTTGAGGGTTTGGAAACGCAAGGCAAAAATATGGGTATACTTCGTCAAGTCTGTGGCGTGACGAAGGAACAAGAAGAAGGGCAGCAGGAGGAGGAGCAGCAAACGGAGCAGCAACAACAACAGCGAGAAGAGGAGGAGCAGCAGGAAGAGGAGGAACAGGCTTGCCGAACACCGCCATTGATACTTCGAACGGAGGAGGAGAGCGAGG